ACATGAAATTGAGTAGTTAGATTTTTAAAGAGTTGACTTTGATAAGTTAAAGTTATGACTAGCACCTCCTTAAGTATTTATAATTAACTAGCAGTAAGCAACCCGTAATACGCGTTGTTAGTAAATAAAATAAAAATAAAAAAACCGCGTATAGAAAAGCCTAGAAACTACTTTAAAATAGAAAAACCTAGAAAATGACGTAACTCGACTAATAATAATAATATTAAATTAGCGTATTCATATTATCAGACTAGCTGAGATCGGACCTGGAAAAATACAAATCTTTGTAAGTCTATTCCAAACCAAACTTTTCTATACTTTTTCTTTATATATCCTAGCTTTCCGGATCCATATAATATGGGTCCTTACCAAACCCACCATTTCTATACATATCTATTCCACAACAGTGGCGGATTGAGGTTTAGTATCGCGAGGGGGCCAAGTCAATAAATAGGGGCGACCGGAGTTGTCTTCAGTAATTTGATCTTATAATTTTTTTTTTGATTGTTTTAGGGGGGGTCGTTTGACCGTTCTGGGGGGGGGGCAAGCTGTTCCCCCACGCCCTATACTAAATCCGCCACTGTTCCACACCGATTATTTATGTACCTATTCTTTATTTATTTCAATATTTTTTAGTAAAATAATTTATTTTGAAAAAAACATTCGAGAGAAAAAAACTTAACATGTGCACCTTTTCCGCATACGCAGAGCTTATGAGAGACTTATAATTAGGTTTATTTTTCTACTGCATTTGATTTTTAGCTCAGTGATTAAATGCGCTGTCATCAGTTTTGTTTTGGGGGGTTTACGACCTCTACTTAATTTTTTCAATCTTGCTTATAAAAAAAAAAATATAGCAAAAAATGTTTCTAAAATTTAAAATAGTTAAAAAAAGTTAAAAAAAAATAGTTAGTCAAAGTTTTCTCATTTTATAGATATATTATACGCGACTATCTATATATAATCGACTTATTCTAAAGACGTTTACGCTTACAAACGTTTGTACGTAACGTTATACAAATGGAACTAAGAAGATCATAGACCACTAAAACGTAGTCATAAAAAAAAGTTCATTCTTATGATTATAATTAAAAACTAAAGAATAATAGCCTCAGCTATTAAACGCTAATCTAAAAGTTAAGCCAAAAAAATTTTGCACATTGACGCCGGTTTGTGGCAAAATAAACCTTTGTGCGTCAAGTTTCCTTTTGCATTTATCTCACATTTTTTGATTCATTTTAATTATGTTGCATACAACTGCATAAAAATATATAAAACTGGTACAGACGGGGCAACATGGCGAATGGGGCAAGATGGGTTTTCATATAACAACTTAACAAAAAATCTTAAAATTGGGTGAAAACGAAACTTTATTTGCTTCTTGTATTTTAAAACACTAATTGGCTTTTTGAAATATTATTAACGCAATTTTATACACATAAGTTTACTTTTAGCGTTTAAAAAAAAATTCTTCACTTTCGGTTTCTCATAATGGATGGTGCCCTTCAAGTTTAACTTCTTTAGAAGTAGTTTTTTGCAATTTGTGTTTATTTTTTGTTACTTTAGTTAGAGTTATTAGTAGTTTTAAAAATTTTATAAAATTGCAAACTGCAAACTGAAAATTCATGCAGGCAATGAAAGAATTTAATAACATAAACATACTGAAAAAGTATTATGGCTTCACGACTTATAGTTTTGCAACAACTCAGGGCTTTCAAAACGTTCGCCATGTTGCCCCGCTTTCCCCTATATCTTTTCACGGATAAGAGATTGTATTTATTACAATAGTAATAAATAGATAGTTTTTGTCTTTATTAGAATATATACCATAAAAATATATTCCATATATCTATAATATATAAGGAGTATATATATATATAGTATATATATATAAGGTATATATATATATAAGGTATATATAGTATATATATAGTATATATATATAAGGAGTTTTTTTTAAAAATTTAAACAAAATCTTTTTTCTAGTTTGTTTTTCTAATTTTTTGCCACAAAGTGACGTCGCATACGCATAAAACAATTGTTTTACGAAAAAGCCTAATGGTCTAAATAGTAGATGACGTAGTTTTAGCAATCAGAAATTATCAAAAGAGGGACAAATCTAAAATTGAAATTTTAAACTTTCCAATTGGATGAGACAATAAGTTTTGTGTTTTTTCAATCCTGTCAATTTTTTTAAATATAATACATACAAATAATCTAAACAAAACAGTTTGAGCAAAAAAGACTTGCAATTATTAAAAAAGTTTACTTATATTACATATGATCCTGAATAAAACATTATATAAGTGGGTTTTTTACATTCTATAAACAATATACATAAACAAATGACATATTTGTTTGTATATATCGTTTAAATAGGGATGGTTAAGCGCCAAACCTGCCTATACAACAAAGTTAAAAAAAAAATTAGTTTTACATTAAAAAACGATTTATACAGTAGCTTTCATAAATTTAGACGCATTCATTTTTTTTTTCATATGTGTAAGAAAATACTCAAAATAAAAATAAAATAAAAGTGCTACCGCTATGTTTGATGTATAATTTAAAAGAGGAAATAAAACTCTATTATAGAGTACCTTAATTTTTTTTTACAGGATGTTTATTACTCATTTTATACCGATTAACACAAAAAAGTTAATTGATAAACTTGATTTTATTTTGTTCATAAATTTAGACGCACAATTAAAAAAGTCTTATATCTTGTTAATTGATTGTTAATTAGTATTTTTCTTCTTATATTTCTCATTAATAGGCCTAAATTAATTGATTTTGTCAAAAAACCTTATATAAATATGACTTACCTGGAATTATTTAATCATTATTTAATAAATAAACAAAAGTTAAGTTAGTTTTGCACTAAAAAAACGTAAAAAATGGGCAAAAGACGTATCACTCAAGGTGAAAGATGGCAAATTATTGCGCACATCAAAGAAGGAACCAAAAGTAATAGAGAAATCGCCAAGTTAATTGGAGTTTCTGAGAAATGCGTTCGGACAACGAAACAAAACTTTCTTCACACTGGTGGTGCCAGCGAGAAAACGAGGCCAGGTAGACCCTTGTCAACCACGAGAAAGGACGATAGTGTTCTTTTTAGAGCTGTCAGAGCTAATCCAAGAATTAGTTACAAAGAATTGACCACAGAATTCAATACAACGCGAAATACATCTATTTCTCAAAGCACAGTCCGCCGAATACTTATCAAATACAAAATTGGAGTCTACACTGCTTTGAAGAAACCGCTTCTGCGTCCATATGATAAACAAAGGAGACTAAAATGGTGTCGTGAAAGAAGGTATTGGACAATAGATCAATGGGAAAACATTATGTGGAGTGATGAGAGTAACTTTGAGCTTATCAATCGCAAATCTAACATAACAGTCAAAAGAATGGCTCACAAAAAGTATTACGCCAGGTACATTAGACCAACTGTACAAAGTGGAGGAGGCTCGATAGGAATCTGGTCATGCTTCAATTACAAAGGTGTTGGTATGTGCCAAACATACACCGGAAGAATCAACTCCAGAATATACGTAGAAGTACTGGAAAACAACCTAATTCCATCAATTGACCTGCTTATGCTCAATGATAAAGCATGGAAACTTCAACAAGATAGCGCTACTGCACATACTGCATACTATACAAAGGAGTGGTTCAACGATACTAATATTATGACAATACCGTGGCCTCACCTGATTTGAACCCGATTGAAAACATTTGGGCTTGGATTGATCGTGAATTAGCAAAGGTTCAAATTTCCACACTTGGTCAGCTGAAGGAATTCCTTAAGGAGACATGGTATGGGGTCCCAGAAGCGATGTGCCAAAATCTTGTTGAGTCTATGTCTAGAAGAGTTCTTAGTTGTATTAAAGCAAAAGGCGGATACACAAAATATTGATTGGTTCATAAATTACGCCTTCTAATGTATCGTGCGTCTAAATTTATGAATAGTTTTTTTTTGTCTAATTTTTTTAATACCATGTAGTTGTACCTAATTATTACTTAGTATTTCATTTTTTTTGTAAACTTTTTTTAAATTTTGTATTCTGTATGTATTTATCTGATAAATAGAAAAAAAACTAAACCGAAATCTTTTTTCGTCATTGTTTTATCGTTAAAATACCTAAAATTTTCTATTCTCAAATATGAGTGCGTCTAAATTTATGAAAACCACTGTATAATGGTTTTTTGCAAACACCAATATAGTGTGTTTAAAATTTTTAAGTGCACTAAACTGCAATTACTTTTAATTTTTTGGTTTAGTGGCTTTTGTTAAGAACTTTCAAATTTTGCTACGAGATGTTTTAAACAAACATAGATTAATAATGAGAATAATGGCTTTTAATATCTAAACTATCGAAATATATATATATATATATATAAGAAAACTATTAAAAATGTAGTTTTACATAATGTTATGAATAAAATTAAAAATCAATATATTTGTGCAGGGGCGGATCCAGCATTTTTTGGTGCTTGAGTTAAATAACTTTCAGGTAAGTTCTAAAATCTAAACTTTTTTATTCTCATACTTATGTCATTTTAGAATGCTTTGCCGAAAATTGCGTTGATTAGAGCCTGCGAATAAAAATACCCTAAATAGTAGGCATCAACCACCCAAATGAGAGGGGAAATGATTTTTTGAAAAAAAAAAGTTATTTCTTTTAATAAAATTCAAATGTGTATCTATATTTAAAGTTTGATCAAAAATCATCTAGCGTTCTAAAGTCTTTCATCTTTCAAAAAAAATTTAGAACCTTAACAATATTACCACCGAATTTAGGATATTAGATTTTTTACTTAGAAAAACCGATTCCCCCCACATTTGGGCGGGTGATTACCCGGATGATTACAAAAAACCCCTAAAAAGTCTTCTTTTTTAGAATTTTTTTGTTACCAGGCTCTAATCAGCGCAATTTTTGGCAAATCATCCTTAAATGACTAAAGAGTAAAAACACAAAAATTTGGAGTTTAGAACTTACCTGAAAGTTATATAACTCAAATACCGAAAAATCCTGGATCCGCCCCTGCTGTGTAATAGTTTATCTACCTTTTGAAATTTTGCGTAATTTTATTAAACGTATGATCGACTCAGGGTCTACTCCTCATAAAAATTTATCAACTCAAAACAATAAAAATGTTCCAATATCTGAACTATACTTGGTTGAAATGTGTCAACTTAGAACATAATGTGTGAACGTAGAAGTGAGTGAATACGTAACAAATCTTCTAAATCTGAGTTATGCAGTTCCTCTACGAATTTTTTTTTTTACGAACTTTTTAAATATTTTCAACATTTTCAATCATTAGATGCGCAATAATTGCATCAACAAGTAACTTAACTTAATTATTTTTAGATATGTCAATTTTAAAGTGACGTCAATGAGTTTAACATTTATTTTCAGACGTGACGCCATGTGATGAAACGTAATTTATTATAGGGATGTGGTAACTCGAATATTGGCGTCACGTAGTTTTTCTTAAAACTACGTGACGCGCAGTTTTTATGCGTTGTTTATCATCAGTAAAAATTTTACTGATGATAAACAACGCATCTTCCTTAACTTCTTTGAGTCCCTAACTGATTATATCAGCGGCGTAGCGAAAGTCCGCGAACGAAAGTCGATTACTCTTAGTACTATTAGTACTTAACTGTATTTTTTTGTTTTATATATTAAATAAATAAACTACAAGAAATGTCATTAAAACAAAAATATTTTACAATTTAGCCATTTATTTTAAAAGTGGAAAATGACACTTTGTTTTTAAACAGAGATTTTTTAAAGATATGTGTTTATACATATTTGTTATACCGTTAACTAATAAAACTTCTTTCCAAAATATCTCTACAATTTTCGACACAATTGTTTTAAATTATTTCACAAATGAAGAGATACCCTTACATAGTAATCATTGTTATCAATATGATTTTTTGAAAATTCCGTTTACAAAAAACGGCTCAATTAAAATCTTAATACTTTTTTTACACGCGGATGGGAGGCAGAGATTTGATTCATTGTAAAAACAATTAATTCAAAAAATATAAACAACCCATGGGGGATCAAAGGGATTTTAAAAAAATCATCAAAAATAAAACAGAAGCTTTATATAAAATATCTTAAAACAAAATCATCTCCAAATAAAAAAATTTACATAGAATACAATTACCAATTTGAAAAAGTTTGTAAAAACTTGAAAAAAAATTACTACTCAAGATTCATAAATAAATTTAAAAATAACTAAAAACGCACTTGGCAAATAATGAATGAAATTAGTGGTAGATAAAAAAGATGCTCAGGGTGCCTTCCCTAAACTATTATATTTGATAACAAACATATATGCGCATCAAGAGCTATAGCTCATGAATTTAATAAATTCTTTGTTGACATCGGTCCCGAACTAGGAAACAAAAATTCTTATACAAATGCTATATTTAGAGATTTTATAGTACATGGGGATAATTGCACTAGTTCCAACAAATTATCTTCTGAACTATCTTTTTAAAAGTTTGAAAAAGCTTTCAAACTCTTGGGAAAAAAAAAAAATCGATAGGAGCAGATGACATAAACGGTAATATAGTCATAGAATGCTTTGAATATTTAAAAGATATCCTACTTAAAGTCTATGGAGCATCTATAAGCCAAAGAGTTTTTCATGAAAAACTTCGGGTTTAAAAGAAATAATTCCACAGAACATGCAGTTATCCAATTTATACGTAAAATTTTTAATTCTTTTAAAAAGTCTAAATAATGTCTAAATAATAAACATTAGGTGTTTTCATCAACCTTTTGAAAGCATTCGATACTGTCATGAAATTTTACTACAAAAGCTAAAATATTATAGAATAAGTTGCAAAGTTATAAAGTATTTCAAAAGTTATCTATCCAACCGTAAACAATTTGTTTTCAGCAATAATGATCATCCCAATAAGTTTTTAAATATTTCATGTGGCGTTCCACAAGGTTCCATTTTTGGACCACTAATGTTCTTGATTTAAATAAACGATCTAAATAACGCCTCGAATTTAATAAGTATCATGTTTGCTGATGACACTAACTTAATCTTTTCCAATAAAGACATTTACAAACTCTTTTATACTATGAATGGTGAACTTAAATGTATATCCAAATGGTTTAAATGCAAAAAACTAGCTCTTAACATTAAGAAAACAAATTGCCTTCTTTTCTACCCAGTCTCTTGAAAAGCTTATTTACCCTGAAGTTTGCCTAAAATTTTTATTGATGATGTTGAAATAAAGAGACATAATGTAACAAAGTTCTTAGGTGTTTTTCTTAAAAAAAACATCACATACAAAACGCATATCGACTATATTGGTACGAAAATTTCTAAAAATATGGGAACTTTATATAAAGCCAGAATATGTTTATGTAAAAGAACTCTAACTCAACTTTATTACTCATTTATTCATAGTTATTTAAATTATACTATCCGTTTAATAAATTTTGTTGATCGATACACTCATTCCAAACCAGTTTTTATTGATATGAAAGTTCTCAATATTAATGAGCTCAATATTTTTAATGTTTTGTGCTTTATTTTTTAATGAAATAAATTTTTTATAAAAATAAAGCACAAAAAAGTGAAAAAATGACATATCTTTATTTGTTTAAAACCAATAAAAAAAATAGACACTTAGAAGCAATAATTTTATATATGTTTAATCAGTTTTGTATTGCATTTCGTGCACCTTATCTTTGGAATAAAATTGTTTTGTTCAATTTTGACATGCATTTTACTTTTCCCATTTTCAAATATAAACTGAAAAACTTAATTATGTTAATGAATGATGTAGTCAGGGTCGGACTGGCGAGGGTTTTTTTTTCCGGACCCCTGCTATGTTTGGGCCCCTCTCTATCTCTGAGCCCCTAATAAACGTACCTAAAAAAAAAAAGGTCCTTGATATGTATTATTGGGAAATTTTTATATATAAGGCGGTCTTGCATCTATGTCTTTCCCCCGGGCCCCTAAATCCTAGTCCGACCCCGGATTTAGTCAGGTTTTTTTAATTCTATTTTCATATTTTCTTTAAAACTTTAAATCTTGAGGATAACATTGTAAAATGTGTGCATATAAAAGGACTAAGACTAACCAACTACTAAGAACCAACAGGTTCAAGGTTCGATGCCGGCTCTCATCAGATAAGCAATATTTGTTGGGAAGAAGGCGTGAACTTAAAAGTGTAAACTTAGATCTTTGAAGTTCTAAGTTTCAACTTTTTTTTATTAGTTATTGGGGTGCTTCAATACTTTAATACTCATGCCCACCATTAGTTATTAGGGTGCTTCAATACTTTAATACTCATGCCCACCATTAGTTATTAGGGTGCTTCAAAAATATATAAAGGTTTTATTGTAGAGCACCACAGAGGAGTATTTAACCAAAATAGTAGCACAATAAATTTTGACAATTTTACTCGTTCAATAAGTATCATCAAACCTCATCAATAATTAAACTGAAGTATATTAATTATTTTTAACTATTCTTTAATAAGAATTGCAACGGTTTATATAATTATTTATCGAAACAGATCCAATTCAAAAGCGAATAAACATTTACAAAAAATAAATAAAAATGAATTTATTTAAAGCGTTTTGATTCCAGCGGTTCTCTACGACAAGACTTCAAGGACTTCTTCGAGTTTCCGCATTCTTTATTCTAATTTTTTTTTAATTCTCTATTATTAACGAAATCTTTATTGTAAATATTATTTATTTATTTTTTATGTCTTACGATTTGTTCACATAAAGTTGTAATAGAGATTGTAAGTATGTTGTCTATGCTGAGTGTTGAACTAATGAAATAATGGTACCTGATGGTATTTGGAAATGATGGTGGAGCATTTTTTTAAATTGAAAATAATATATAAATTGTTTGTGCATTACTACATTTTGTAGCTCTGAACCATTTGGTTCAGAGTTTTTGTAGAATTCAGAATTGCTTCAGAACCATTTAGAATTCTCCAAATTTTTACATTTGTGCCAGTTTTTTTTTTAAAACTTTTGTTTAATTTTTTTTAAAATAGTAGTTTGATTTTGCAACCAATCGGAAACTCTGCTTGTTTGCAGAAAAGAATGTCAACGAGTTGGAAAATGCATATGAATTTTTTTAGACATGTTCATTGAGTTTGCCTAAAGTACGTAATAGTGTGTATTAAAATATAACTCTTGTTTTGAGCTATATATCTATCACCTTATAGTCTTAAAAAACTGTGTAATTGGAAGATATTATTTAGAAGAAATTGTAACAAAGATGTTGATATTTCTTTTTTTCCCTTTCCAGCTTGTTTCTCCTATAACTATAGAAAAGTTGTAAAATATAATGTCTTGTATGACTTCTGCACGGGTGTTTTTAGCAGATGTGGGCATTCTTATTGTACATTTTATGAAATACATTAATACTCATGCCCACCATTAAACACTCTCGTTTAAACTTATTTTTTTCATAATGGTTTTCAGTCCCAAAATTTCCAACAAATTTTTTGAAACTACCCTTTCTTTTCCTGGCTCAACTAGTTATTTTTGTCTTATCTTCTATTATCTTTGATTTTTGAATTGTTCCTTTTTGATGTTTTGTATCCTAGTAAGTCCCACTTTAGTTAAATCTAGAAAAAACGTTTTTGAAACGTTTTTGAAACTTTTTTTTCCTCCAATAACTAACTTTTAAAAAGTAATTAACTTTTTATAAATGCTCTGACACATCCTTGTTGTTAGCTATTGATCTGGATCCTCTTTGCTTCACTTTTTTAGTCTTAATAAAAAGATATAATGACAACATCTAAAATTTTTTTTTCTGTAACCAATTTTAAGTTTTCTAGAATTTGTGAAACGTGATTTGGTTTAACTTTTAAGCAACAAAAGATTTTCGTGTTATGAGTACAAGAATCGTATTTGAGCTATTTCGTCTAAGGTTCTTAATACTTTTGGAAGCAAGTTTCTATTTCCACCAGTTAATGCGTTTCGTACAAGTACCACTACTTTCCAATCGCATTTTGACATATTCGTTATTCGATATATACATTATATTATATATCTTCCATTTAACTGCAATAAACTAATTGCAGTACTTACCTTTGTAAATTTGCAATAACTACTTAAAGGGGTCTTCCATAAAATACGTATGCAAGTATGGGGTGGAGGGGAGTTACCCAAAAAATTTCGAATGAAAGAAGATACAATAGGGAAAAGGTGTTAAAGAAGATACAAGAGGGAAAAGGTGTTAAAGGTGCTAAAGTCAAACCGCTTATGTACAGCAAGTACATAAGCGGTTTGACTTTCTAGCGTTCCCTATGTCTCATAAAAT